GTGTTTCTTTAGAATCAATGTTTTTCCTGTCCTTTTGTGGATATTGTACATACGCAATAAAGGTTTCTTGAAACAGATCTTGATTTTGAACATTCTTTTTGTTAAAGTGAAAAAAATAACTAATTTACCAAAAATTCTATAGTATATTTATTTATTCAGATTTTGTCACATTTTTCTTTATACTGTATTATGGTTGGCTTGCAATATCTATATTGAATCTGTTCAACTATTATGGTAAATATTAAAAAAAAACTCTAAACGTAATTTGTTTTAGATAAAATTCTAAATCTAACATTTCTATCCAAAATTAAATTCTAAAGTTAATATTTTGACTGTATATGCTTGCAAATATTCACTTCACAGTTTATACAGTCAGTCCATTTGCTTATTCTGGGATGCTCATATAAGAGCAGCTGCCAACAATTGTCCAGATACTATTTGTGATTCCAAACAGTTGTAACAGCAGGCCGTTCTTTTATCTCACACCAGTGAAGCTACAACATGGAGTTAACGAACAGTCACTGGGCAAAAGGCACGACCTACTGTATGTCCAACGGATTTTCAGTCTTTCTGAATGTAGATTTAGGCTGCACTGACCCAATACGAAAAACCAGAGGGCAATTCAACGCCAATGCTCACCATTAGTTATGATGCCACCTGGTGGCAGTAGAACAAAAAGCAATCTACAGCAGAGTTATGACGTAGCAGATCCTGACGGGACAAACGTACAACTTTTTCTTTTTTTTTCAAATAACATTCTGGTTCATCACAACAAACGGAGATGAGTGGATAGAAATTGTTCCATTTTTATTTAATAAATATAAACATGTATGGTTAAGATACCAAATCCAAATAATGTTCGGCTTAAAAAGACAATCTTAAAGAACATGAGCTCAACAGTCTATGTGCACCACATCCCTGAGACAGAAAAAGCAGTATTACAGTATACTTGATTTTTTACAGTATTACTTTACAAGTGACGTGGCAAATCTCACATGTATAGTAAAGTTAAACATCTTCAGTATGGCTTTGATATTCTCACTGACCTACAAATAAGGTGGCTGAAAGGTACATTTTCTTCGGCTAGCTCAGAACACGCCGCACGCCGACGTGTGGCGAAAATTAATTCAAGTTGCGGAAGTTTCAATCTAGAAACATATTTTAGAATTTATGGTGGAGTCTTCGTACCATTTTAAACCCGTTTATAGAAACAGCATATTTAACATTATATCAGAAAAATAACAACGACATATGTACGATAGTTAATAAAAGGCTTCCTGTACTCGCCTCAGTCCCCTCAGTAACAGGTTGGATTTTTGCTGTAAACTCACTCCTTGAGTAATGAGAAACAAACACAAATACAACAGTTGATGGACTAAATGAACCGTAAAGAAACTAAAGTTCTGGAGGTGTCGGTCATTCCTCATCAGGGAACTTGAACTTGGCATAAACGATAAGCATGACGACGGACATAACGACACACAACGAGCCGATCACCAGGTAGGCGATGCCCAGGAACTCGTTCTTGCCTCCCATCCAGGAAACGTTGCTCAACACGACCTTCTTCCTGCCGTCGAAGCTCAGAACAGGGTAGTCTGGAGGACGGGGTGTTAGGGACTCGTTCCAAACCAAAATATAAACATTATTAACTAAATATCAGTAGTTTTACTGTGTAGCTTTATACCGACTTAACACAAATGACTCGTAAATGTATTTTCAATTCAATTACTTTGTTGTTGGTTTGTATCCACTGTTTCGACTAGCTCTTAGCTTAGGTTAGCATCAAATACATTCGTTTAAATATATTGGCCAAGGCCTGTATACTGCTCCATTACACTTAATTTATCTTTTGGATAAAATGTTTTTCAGAGTAAATGTTATCAGTTTTGGTATTTAACTATAATTATCTCTTTAATTAATTACAGTTACTCATTGAGCTAATGTTTGGCTAGCTTGCGGCTGCTGTTTAAGCCATAATTTTTCACTGTATTTTGTGTATATCTGTTGTATTTCTGTTTCATTATTTTGCCACTTTTCAGACAGCATTTTTTCATTAATGCTAGAGTTAGCATACAGTAGCATAATCTGAAAGAATTATCTTTACATAACAATCCTACATTTTGTTTTTGCAATAATCTGATTCCTTTCACTGAAAATGATCGCATAGTCATACAGTTGGTGTAAAAAAAAGACTTTATCATATATTAAAAAGTAAGTAAAATAAATATGGACTTTTCCATCTCACTCTGGTGCACACTCAATTGCTTTGTAAAAAATACAGTATTTGGCACTGATTTACTTACATCAGAAAATTTGCCTGTTTTTCCAACTGCGTTTCTCTCCCTTTGCTCAGATACAAATACAACCACACCCAACAGGAACAACAGGTTAGACCAAGCCACTGTAGGTGTAAGGTGACAGGCGGTGTGTTACCATTACAGTGACCTGTTTCTAGTGAGGGAGCTGTCAATCTTCCACTTGTAATCAAACCAAAGAAAACACCATGTTTTCGTTGAAAAGGATACTGTAGGCAATTTCAAGAGAGTAGTTTCCAGCTGGCAGACCCTGGGCGTAATCCTCCTCCGCAATTCGTCGGTACAGCTTCCTAAAGTTTGGCAGTGCGGCCCTCCTCATCCACACCAGGAAGTCTTGGTTGATAAAGCCGTTGTTGGCGGGGTCCGTGGGGTCTAATTCATACGCCGGCTTGGGCCAATTTGAGGGCTGTACAGTACCTGAAAGTAAAATATTATAAAATGTTCTTAAGAATGAATTTCAAATACTTCTGTCTAAAATGTTTTCAACTCTGTAGCCGTTAAGCAATTCTGTGTGGGAATACTTGACATATATTATTCAGGTTAGATCCCTTACACAACCCCTCTGTGTTACAGTTTTATCACAACTGGGGGAAATACAGCACACTGAACAACAGTTGATACCATTGAAGGCGTTCTTCAGAGGTGTCACAGATGGATTTCTGTTCTTGATGTTGTAGTCGGTCCACCAAGCAATCCCTTTTCCATCTAAGGGCACAGGCTTTTTAGTCCCCCCGATGATCTGATACAGTTTGAATGTGTCTTTAAGAAACAATACAACAGAGGAAACAATTAGGAATTGTACTACTACTACAAAAATGATTACCAATGTGTTTTAAAGTTAGAATATTCAAGACGTCTTATTATATGAACCAAATGATGATGAAAAGACAATTATTTTGTAGTTGGTCATGGAAGTGCAGGAAAGCTGCCCTCCTGCTGTATTTTCCCATTTTAACTTTCTATCATGAGTGGTTGAGACATTTCCGGTGGGAAAGTTCAGCAATGGGAAGTCACTTTTTGGCAGTAATATTACGAAATGTCACAGTAATGTTTTGTTTCCCACATTCTCTAGGGTTTTCAGTGTGACAGATCAATGGACAAGCTTCATCCAAGCCTGACCATTGTCAAATATTTTGTTTCAAAAGCTAAATATAAAAAGTGCAACCAAGTTCAAGGGCCAAATTTATATAAAGATATACCATTCTTGTAAAAACCTTGATTCGTGGACTACTTTAATCAGACTGGGTTTATAATGCTCCTACAGGATCGAGGAGAGTTTCATGCTCTGTGTTTGCCACTGACCCAGAGATCCTGCTTGCACTGCTTTACAATACTATTACTTACCATTGAAAATGCTGTTTGCCACAGCTCCACATGGCACAATTGGTTTTTTGTTGGCGTCATATTGAAAAGGAACGCAATCGTCAGTGGGATTCTTTAGGACAGATAAAAAAACCAAAACAAACACATGTCATTTTTCAAGATTTTAAAGGACCTTACACAGTGGCAGACTATTGTATGTGTTTAAATAGTGAATCAATGCAGTTAAAGCAGTTTCTCTAATTTAAGGCTTTTAAATGCACCTGAAACATTCATATTTTTGACAATATTAAATAAATAAGTAAATACATTTTGTTATTTCATTGTGAAAAGTACACCATTTTATCAGACTCTCTAGGCATATCCCCATTGTGTGAACACACCTCAAAGTTATCCAAGTTTCCAGACAGTTGGTCAAGATCTTTGGACACACCATATCGCCTGAAGTTTTGAAAGTAGTTGGACAAACCGTAATAGAAGAAAACAGGCCCCTGTGGAGGAAACACATGTGATCAGGGGGAGGACTCAGGTTTAGCTTGACAGACAGTGACAGTAAGGTACGTGTGTAAATGTACAGTATTTTAATGTTGTACCAACCTCAAACAGTTTGTCCAGGTTGAAGTTCATGTTGCACACACAATTCTTAGTACTAGTGTCACTGCACTTAAAGCAGGGTGAGCTCTGCTCAACACCACTGTAGTCTAGCTATGTGGGGAAAAACAAAGGGGTAATTAATTATTCAAGGTTACAACACCTCTCTCCATTGTCCATTGGAGACAGACAACGCATTCAGTGTTCATCCGTACCTCCAACACTTGGATACTCCGTGTAGTGACAAAAAGAGCCACACCAATACCAATGAAGGCCAGACCGATGAGGACAAACCCTGGGATGACAATGCCAGCGGAGAGCATGGGCTGCCATGCTGGAAGCCTCTGCTGAGTGAAGGCGGTGTTGTCTGGCCGGTTGGCCGTCTCCTGTTCTTCTTTCACCATTTTCTTTCTGTTGTTAAAGATGTATTAACCACTGTCTTTAATAATTATTACCAAGACACATTTAAAATAATTTAGAATATTCAAGGCTCTATTTTGATACATATATCCATCTATTTTTCTACTGTATATGCGTATATAACTATATCACAGCCAAATCGCTTGCATTAGTAAATGTACTTAGCAGTAAACACTGATTCTGTCACATTTATTGCTAATGGATTAATCGTCGCCAAGTCAGTGTCTAGATCCATGTCACTAATGTAAACTGTTTGGTAAAAGTATGACTTATTTCGCACAACTTAATGTCACTAATGTAAACTGTTAAAAGTATGACTTATTTCGCACAACTTAAACACACACAAACTCAAACAGTGTTGGACTGATGAGTTAATCGAAAATTACATCGCTAGTATGCATTAGCCTTCCAGTAGAAGATTTGGTGCCTTATTATTATTTCAATTTAACGTGGGTTTTTATACACATCGACAATCTAAAAAAATAGAATCAATAGAAGAACAAAAACTGACGTGTTTGACGGAATATGTGGCTACTCGAACAATCGAAAAGCATTCGTTTTTGCAGCCTTGCCCAAAAGGCGTCTTACCACATGGAACGATCCTGATAGTAACAGCCTGATAAACCGAGAACAACATACTGTAACACAGATATCAAAATTACTTTTTTTTACCGATTCGCGGATTCAAAATAACTACCCATATAATGTTTCATATAAATGCACAATGGGTTAAAGTTTTACTTACATACAAGTGGAGAAAAACAATAACAAAGGA